TATCTTCATATCCGGTGTTGTCTATTCCGACTTTGGCATTTAGATCTCTCATCAGAATGGTGAGGTCCTTTCTTGGGCACTTCTCTATGATTGACTGCAGCCGCTCGTAGAATTGATCTTTAATATCGTCGTTGCTACCATTGGTGGGTGCATAATATTGGATAATATTCATTGTGATCCCCTCCTTCTTTGTTTTGAATGATGCTTTGATGATTCTGGATCCATGAGATTCCCATCCTACAAGTGTATTTCGTGCTACTTTGGAAAGCATTAGAGCAACTTTCTGAGTGTGTGGAGCATTTTCCTCTTCGTGACCGGAGTATAGTAGCATTTCTCCCGTATTTAGCCTTTGTTGTCCAGCTTGGGTCGAGTGGGTTTCTCTGATTCCCAGTACTGCCAAGTTGTATCTCCTCCATTCTATTTGACTGGTCTTCCCAGTCTCCTGCATTGTCCAGACGTTCCATGTACTCATAAAAGCTGTTGCTCTGGTTGTTGGAGGGAGCATTGGCCTCATGGCTACCGAAGGAACTTGGCTTTCACCATGAGGCGCCATAGTTCTTCTAAATGATGACCTTCTAAATCTCAGGACAGAGTTTAAGTGGTTTGAACACTTTTTTCTGGTTAGCGTTTTTTAAAAAAGTTGGTTTTCTACGGGATGGGGTTGTCAACCCCATGCCCAACCCGCCTCCTTTACTCGTGCTTGAGACTGGCCGTAACTCTAGAAGAGCTACAGGCAGAGTTACCGCCGGTCTTAGTCCCGAGTAAATGGGGAGGGTTGGGTAGAGGGTTATCAAGCTCGTCCTGTAAAAACGAACACTTCCATTATTTTTCCGTTGAGGATAGTTATGATAACTCAAGGCGAAGGCCAAGATTCCTTGGAGTTCACCAAATACATACCCCATTTATCGGTAAGAATAACAAGTCATATAGGTACATAAAATTTCCGAGTAGTGTGGAAGAAGGGAAAGACCATACAGGCAGCTACGAGAACGAAAAATTCCTTTATTTCGCTTTTTAGAATAAGTGAAACCCATTGTATACAAGCTGTACAGAAAGGATAGGTTTTGAAAGTAGTGGAACTGTATTACGATTGTGAAGAAGTAAATGCCCTACACATATGGAGCCATTGATGGTCTTAGAAAAAGCGTGATGTGTTCGAAGGTGAAAAACCTGTGAATAATTGAGCATCAAATCACTCTTCAGAACCAAGACAAAAGCAAATTACAGTCGATGTCAATTTGGGGCGGAACATTTTGTTTGGTTTGGGCTCTTTATGATTGAGGATGAGGCAATTAATCGGCGATAGTGAAGTTGTTCTCCTACGTTTGCTACTCAAACTCATATTTCCAATTTTATGTTGAATTCGCTATTCGACTAATTTAACCTGTGACATGCTAACCCAGACTTTTGAAACATACAATAAATTATATACTCATTAGCGTTTCTTAACACTTTACTTACTTTCAGTGCATTTCCTATCCAAATAAATATCCTTCATCATTCTAACTACGACTTCCCTTCCATCACTTGAACCCATTCTATTTCATTACATATCGCAACTAATTGTTCTTTGTTACTCTATCTTTCTGTATGAAGGCCCTAACTGCATTATATTCTAGCAACAACAGGTAGCATAAGTTTTGTCTCCTAGTTTATCAAACCTCTGTCTGTTACACTATAAACCCTTAAGCATTGCTTGAGGTTTACATCAGTGCACAGCTATGGAGCTTCTCCACCCTGAAACAAGCTTATCGTTTGCTTTCGTCAAGGTCACAGCTCACGACAAGCGCTCCCTAAATGTTCATTGTAACAACTACAAACTTAAAAGTTGTATCGTGGAAATACTTAGCACACTCAGAATTCTAACACGGTGCGACCGATTTTGGACCTGGTGTGCAACGTGGACACGATGCTATTTTTGAAAAGGATTGTAAAAATTGCAATCATAGTGCAATACTAAAACCTAAACCCAGTCATTAGATCCCTGGGACATCTGCACGAATGTAGTGTCTTTTATTTTTGTTGATTCCATTTATTTTAACAACCCTATTCGGGAAATGTACTGTGTGCAAACAAACATTGTAAATTACAGATCATGCATGTAAACATATCATTGTATATATGACCGACGCGACCTTCGTACCAATGAAGGACGAGGAGATCACGGAGACCACTTTTCCTCGAGCAATACTAAGGAAAGCAACCGACCATTCTGATGCCGAAATGGAAAATATCTTGTACATAGACATCATGGGACCACATGGATTAGGGGAAAGAAACAAAAATGATGTGAAGCTGGCAAATTTACATTCTTTCAGAAATATAGCTATAGGTAACATCATCCCCCCTTTCGAAAATCATAAAACGTGTTTCATCAGGCTACACCGTGATGAAGCAGATCAGTCACATCTGTATCAATAAACAACTTTGGGAGATTCGTGGAGGGAAAGGAGCAAATAAAGAAGCTAGTAAAGTTTCTGACTACTAAGTGATGGAAGAAAAGCTGAAGCCATGAAAGTATTGGACAACTGGACAAGTGGCACTACAAAGGCTTTATACAACTTCCGTTTGAGATGCTAACAAACCTATAGAATCCAAAACAGCCCTCTGCAATCATCTCTAAGCTTTACAAGATGCACTAGAAGAAATGGGTCAGCATAACAGGGGGTGCCGTTCCATGAGAGGTATCAGCATAAATAATGATTCTCTGTTGTTGCTCTTGGTAAAATTTTAAAAACGAGGACAATTAAATTCCCAGAACAAATATACAGAGGCGAAAAAAACAGGTTCAAGAAAGGGAATATATATAAGGCCGGGCAGCTACATCGGAAAATGCGAGAAACAACCAATAGAGAAATGTGTCATATAACCAAGAAGCTAGGAGGGAAAGGTAGCAAGCGAGAGTGATAAGACGAAAACAACGAAAGTTGATTAATTACAGATGTTTAAATAAGGTGGAAAATCTGTGCACTCTGAAGGGCTATTACTTCTACAAATGTCACTGAACACAGCATTGGATCTGCACACAAACTCCTTAAAAATAATACATATAATATACAGTGGAAGAAAGTGGCAAGACCATCGGATAAATCAGGATTGTCAATGTAAAAAGACCAGACAAGTCAGATGAGGCACTGAAGTTGGATACCAATGTACCTGTTAAAATGTTTGGAGTTATTTTCCGACTGCCTCGTCAAAATACGGGAAGTGCAGATCTAAGTAGGTGTGAGAAATACAGAGTCATTACACTGTTCTCTGTACTATCCAATTTTTCCCAACAATGTCATTCAACCAAATGAAAGATTTAGTGTACGCCAATACTCGCAATCGACAATGAGGTTTTCATAAGCACAGATAAAATACCAACAAAATATTGGCACTGTAGTGAATTTTTGGCAATCTGTCGAACGCAGCTCATCACTAAACAACAGCTTCCTTGATTATATGAAGGCATTCAACTGTATAAATGGAAGAATCCTGTGGAATGTTCTTGAAACTACGGAGTAGCTTATAAGACCATCATCGTAAAGAAGCACCACACGCGACTGAGCTAAGAGTTCACGGCAGCTCGAGAACCTACTGTGCATATCAGTGCTTACACACAAGGCTACCTACTCTTCCCTTTCCTGTTTCTTCTGGTAGTTGAATGTGCTAGGCGGACATTCATATATCAGGAAGAGCACTGAATATAGAGTAAACCTGAGACCCACCTGGACGATTTCCGCCACAGGTTATCAAGCCCATCTATCTCATACATAATAGGATGTGCAGAACAGGACGGTTAGTGTGGCAGCAATTTCTGCGTAAACAGACATTACCGCTTTAAAGGGACAAACAAAATCTTAAAGTACATCACGGCAACAGGCAGCGAAATTTCACACAGTGGATCGTTTAAACAACTTGTCGAAACCGTTAGTAAACAGTGACGTTCTGAAGTTATTGTTAAGTTATGGAATAACAAACGAAGTAAAACATTCCATTTAGAACTAAGAACTGTCACTTCAGAACGTAGTCACAATTCTCAATACAAACGTCGGACCAGCTCACTTGCGCGGAACGGAAATCTACAGTAGTATCAAAATCACCACCAACAGGTACAAGTTGTCTGAGCCAACTATCCGAGATCCGTTGGCTCGAGACAATCAACAAAAACCTGGCGTAAGGAATAACAAACCAACTCCTAGTTGGGAAGGAATTCCGAAAACGACGTTGGAGGTGGACAAAATACAATTTGTGAAAATCAGGAAGTTACGTCACAGAGAAAGTCGACAACTCGATGTTCTCAAGGTAATGGGAAAAGTGGTAAACTAAGAAAAACACGCCATTGCCAGATGGAGGCATGCATCAAAACTTGGCGACAACTAAAGAGAAGATCCAAAAACAGAATTGTTTGAAGATTTCTGGTTTGTGGAGGCGGAATGAGCTTAGCTAAGTGCATAACTAGCCTCCATTTTCGTCCTACTTATATGTCACTGGATTATTTTGTTTAGTAGCCTTTGGTTACCGATGTAGTTTGATTCTGTCGAATACAGGGTACTTTCCAACACAACACTCAATTTCGCATTTTCTTCTCCAAAGTGCTTTGAAAATTTTCTGCAAGTAGAGAGATTTTCAAGTGGAATTTTGCAATGGTCTGATTACAGCTGACCCAAGTTACAAAATAGTTATTTACAATTATTTGTGTCAGAACCCTCAATATTCTTGTATTCGTGTTTTACTTTCTTGGCCCAGAAAATTTGCTCTTGCATTTGGTCGTCTTCGTCTAGGGCCAACCACCTTTTACAAAAATAATTTGGCTCCCAGTTATGGCGACCTAAGTATTAATAGGGCATTTACGTGAAGTGATCAAAGATCCACGTCCTCGTTTGGAAGTGTTTGTTGACCTTTTGTGAGACCTTTTCAGACCAAGGTTGTTAGGTAGTAGGTCATTCGAAAACAGACTGCTTATTTCATTTACATCCGGCTTATTAAACTTTTACATTTAATAAATCGACGCGGTTAATCATATGGCGCTCTTGTCAAGTGTCAAGGATGTTGTGAATTATCGTAGCTTTCTCGGATTATTCTTATGACATGTACTAGTGGTCCTGTGATATTTGTCATAAAACAAGATATTTTGTTCACTTGTTATTAAAACTCTCTATTCCTGTTATCGTTCCACATAAAACAGTTCTTGGTATCATTGTAAGTTCCCTGTCGATGTGTATTATGCCGAGAAAATAAACCATGCAGTTTATTTCAAAAATAAATCGCTAACCTGCTTTAGTTTTTTCATTATTTGATCCTCCGTTTTTGATTACTTATCTGTGTGTTCCTTTGTCTTGTAAAGTGTAAATGCCGTTAGTAATAGGTTTCTTGTTGTAGGCTCATGTATTATGGTGTTACCGAGCTTTTTCATATCACAATTCGGCCATTTTTGTTTGCTGTTAAATTGCGTACATCAATGGTAGGCTGTAGAGATTCTATCAACCTTACTGACAATGTCGACATTGTCAAATTCATTACACTCCTTATCACGATGTCATAAATCAATAGCACCTACGAATATACAACTGAATAGCAGTAAATCACCCTACTGAGATATTATGGCTAAGCTCTGACTAAAGGTGACGTTCACAAGTTAATTATAGACTAAATAACCGTCTTCGTGGTTAAATACCCACTTGTTGTTCTCGATATTACCCACATCGTGTTGACGGTGGCTTACGTCGAATTTCTTAAGATGACGTTGACAAAATACCGAAAGCTATTAGACTCTACTTCAGAGAGGCCATATTTTAAAAAACATGTACGAAAAAGTGCCATTCTATACAACTTTTCCCATATATAAATTTAATTAAGGCGACATCAATTGTATCATTTCGTCGAAATCACGAGGTGATGTAGGTTAGACCACCATTGAAAGCCTAAAAGCACTGGATGTCCGTTTTGCTCTTTCACGGGACTCTTTGACAGTGGTCACCGACGATCCTGCACATGGCAATCGAACCCAGGACCTCCAGTCTCTCACAAACGCTTAACCTCTAGACCACTGAGTCGGCATCTAATGGTGTTGAGATGTAACTTCAGTCAATCCACGACATTGTGTTACCGTATTGCATTGTCTTCGGTACGTATCCATCTCATATCCGATGTAGATTAGCTCCACCAGTAATGGCTTTTCACTAGAACTCCGTAAATTCCTTCTCGAAGCTGGTCTCTAGTGAACATGTAATTGTCAGTGTAGGAAACAATTTCCCACAGATTCAACTCTAAGCTAATCTCTAGACTGTCGAGTACAGAGTCTTGGTTTAACCAAAGTCAGAACAAGTAAGCTATTTGGCTATATAAACTTTATCTGTTTCTAAAACAGAAATTAACATCGTTAGCGTACAAACAAACAGTACGGTCTATTAACACAGAGAAAAACAGAGACAAATAACATACCGAACAGTAGCTAGAGAATAGGAAAAATGAGTCAACAAGCCAAAATTGTTTTACAATGAACATTAAACTGTGATTGGTTAATAAAGAGATACAGTCGTACAAGGTCAAAAGGAGTTGGTGTGGTGGTGGGCGTTTCCCTTATTATTGGTGGGTTCGTCTATCAATCACATTTTACACTCCCCCCGAAACGCGCACCACGTCGGTTGTCCAGGGTCGTCGTCGCCGTCAGACAGCCGGCTCCTTCTAGTAGACATAAGCGTCGTACGTCCAGAGCAGTTTCTTCGTTTGAGGTTCTCAATTTTGCCGTACGAACTCGTCCGTCAAAGCCATAGCTTACTTGTTCGACAATAGCTTTGGACCATAGACTTCTCAGTGAGCCAACATTGTTTAATAACACTAAGTCTCTCGAAGACTCATCCATCAATACCTTCTGAAACAATAGTGATCGCAGAATTCTTCTTATCGACTTTATGATGCGTCCCCATACACCGTCTCGTTGACTAGACCTCGGAAGTTTAAAGCGCCATTCACAACCTCTCTCTAAAAGGGCATTTACTGTCTTGTTCTGATTCCAACTACACATGATCTGTCTAAGAATAGCATTGGATCCTATAGAACTACCAGATGCACCCTTACTCTTGTTCACAACTCGTACAAGGGCGTCTTTCTCAACACCATACTCGATACCACGGCGAATATGTGCTACCTGCTTCTTCAGGGTCTTAGTTACTGGCTTCTTCGTTACAGTGGTCTTCGGCTTTTTTGTAGTCTTCACTTTCAGTTTGATGTCCTTTTCCTTAAGATTTCTTGGAGTTGATTTGGATTTATTAGCAGATGATGCTTCAGTTTTTGGCTTAACAACCTTATACTTAGTTAATAGAAACGAACAATGAACTTGACGAGAGACATCTTCGGAACGAGTATACCCCGCGACACCATATGCAGATTCTGATGATGCTATACGATCCTCCACAGACATCGATGAAGTACGACTAAGTCGGTCTTTGAATTCAGTTGAATACGATTGTTCAAACTTATCCTCTAATTCCTCTTTAGCTGAGAGGTGATTGAGTACACGATTGCTTTTACAGGGTTCCCCATAGGAACCGAACAGCGTCCAACCTAACAGAGTCTTCACGGAGAATGGTTCATTCGGCTTTCCAGTTCTTACCTCTTTCATTTCGTGTACACTCGGTGCATTGCACCCGATCAACAGTTCGACAGTCAGTGAGTTGCGGAGGTTGTTTAAATCGCGAACCAATCTAAGTCGTATCGTAATGGTGTGGGACTCAACACTGCTCATCCACAAGCACCATGTTAGTACAAAATGGCAATCTAATCCTTCCAGACTGTCAATGGTGGTTTGACTTAGATCGGTTTATGATTTCAATGACAATAAAGCAATTTAGATTGGTGATACACCCTAATTTAGAGTAGACTTATTTTTTCGATTATCTTTCTAATTAACCTCTGTGGACTTGTAAATTAGCTACTTTTAATTATTCACAGTTGTGGAAACCATTATTTGTGTGTAGTTTTACCTTGACAATCACAACATCTGTTCTCTTACTTTTCTGGCTTTACTCAAGTGTGTACAGTAGCAATTCTCGATATAATGCGACGGCTTTCTACTCTGAAGAATCAAGACTTCAAAATCAAGTGACTCGTAAGCAATAGAAAGCAAAGACGCAAGTTTCACCAATAGTTATTATTAGTTGGCTACCTCAGTACTACATATAAGCGTGTAGTTACAGTAGTATACTACCTCTACAACTTCTGAGTTAATTTTGTAATTCTTCATTATAAGCAGTTGTGGTATAAACATTCACAGATAACAATAACTCTACGTTTATGACATAATATATGTCGGGTTTATCATCCATAGCTGTAGTTTGTCATGCATATGACTCCGTATTCAATAATTTCTTGGAGCTGCGTAACTATATACAGTTGTGTTATTTCACTCACCACTTGGATTTATCATGAATGCTTTTGAAAGTGTAAATCGACCATCTTGGATTTTATTATGACTGCGTAGTCACCATCCTTTCAAAGTATGCATCTGTTTCTATGGCTCCAGAATACTTCAATATTGTTATTTCAGTGCAGTGGAGTAACGGATACCACAAGTCATGGGCAAGACGGAAAGAGGATTAGTGTTGTTGTTATTTTTAAAGATAAGAATTAGTGGAATAGATACCTTTAGTATTAATTATATGTTAACTTAGCTACCTGGTTGGGGACCGCGAGATGACAGCAACCGATGGTTAGAGACCCTGAATGACATGGCTCAAAATCGTTTGCAATGGCGCAGGTGCATCCACTCTCTGTGTTCTCCCAAATTCTAATCTTCTGAATTCTTCATGTCCCTTTTTGAACTGATGTACGTACGTACGAAGTTCTACGTTGTTACTGACTGACTGACAAATGAATGTATTGAGACCGTACAAGGTGCTATTACTGAACTTATAAGTACAAAGCCTAAAAGGTATGAGTCAATGCATGTATTTCTTTTTCTGGTTTGATGTTTGTCCAAAGCATTCTGTACCGTTTTATTTCACAATTCTTGTTATTGTAGAATATTCTTATTTGTATAGGACAGTTTCAAGCAGTTCCTCTCTATGTAAATGAACTTTGTTTGCCGGAATCAAAGCTCATTGGTAATGATAGTGAAGATTTAGCAGCTTCATTTCACGTAAGGTAAGCTTCTTCCTATATTTATTTCCTAAGCGTTATCTTTATATTTTAATTGGGATACTTAGGGCCTAAAATTCTGTAGATTTATTTAGTTCTCACTATTATTAAAGTATATGGAGTAAATTCTTATTCCCCGTTTGAAATAATAACCTCTGTATTCATCACTTTCAACCCATCTTACTTATTCCATTAACTTCCAACATTTATTTTCGAAAAGTATTTTGCCAAAAAATATGAAGTAAGAGTGTATAAACTAACAGTACTGCTTAAAAGTGATTACATTTTCACACAGTGATGTGGGAATTCATTGGTAGATATCAGGTTAAGTACGGTTGAATCTCAATGAATTTTTACGAAGTCTCAGCACCTAAAATTTTATTTTGTTAGATATGTAATACATAATATTATCGAGTTTTTTTCACTAGATCTTCATATGCCATCTCTCATACATGTATAAATCTGGTGTTCACCTTGTTGTGCTGTGTGACAATTTGGACCCATGCATATATGTACCTGGTCCTACGTTGTAGCTGACTGACTCTCATATACTTGCTTATGTCAATGATCAGTATGCTGTGAAACAGAATCAAGGAACAGATCACAGGTGTCATTTCTTGTAATCTATACCATTTTTGAATCGTTAATTACTTTTTCGTTACCGATGCAACCAATTCTTTCCCTAATTTTTACTGTATTAAAATGATGCACAACTGGTGGTTCCGTTTGTTCGATTCGATTCAGAAAGTAAAGCACCAGACAAAATGGAGAAGAATGTAATTGTGCTGCTTATATTGCTTTAAGTTATTTAGTTTCATCCACATTTTTAAAATACCAGAATACTATATCTAGTGTGGGATGCTGATATGTAATGACAGTGAAACAGATATTAACACCGAAAGTTTCGCATTTTAAAGTTTTTATGTTATTAATAAAACAAACAAAATAAGCAGAATCTATAGGTTATGAAGTGCCATAATACTTACCACCCGAATCAGAGAATTACGATGTACCTACGGATGCCAGTTCAAATCACCTCTCAGTTTCTGTAGGTTCATAAAATTAATGCGTTAGATAAATGTATCAAACATCGTCACTTTATCAGCCTAATGATAATAGTTCATCTAACTGAAGACTTATTTAATTTAAAGTATTTTTCAGCATACTTCATTTTGCACAACTTAGCAATCTCATTAGATCTCACAAAATGAATATGCCACACACTCGTGATCTAATATGATTGTGGAGCTTTGTCTTATGTTATTTTTCAAGATTCCCAAACTACTGAACAATGAGTATCTCTCATTCGTCATCACCCAATTTTGGGGAAAAGCCTCACTTCAAAATTACCGATCGACAGCAATCAGCACCTGGTGTGGAATACCTACAGGGAAATAATAATTGTTTTGAAGAGGAAGAAGAATGGCAGTCGGTAAGGGTGTTCAGTAATCTTCTTTCCAGTGTTTTTTTCTTACCTCATCCTTTGCGTAATATGAAATTTTCGTCCTGAAATATTTAAAAATAGTAAGTGAGGACAATTGATTTAGAAGGTTAAGGTTGTCTGCAGAAGGAAATACATCCAAATACTTTCACTTGTTGACATTTCTTCAAAATCGACTTATACACCAAGATACTTGACGTTCACTTTAAGTTCATGGTTCACTACCAGCATCCTTAGTCTCAACAAGATTATTTTAAGTTGTAACTATATAATAACTTAGATCGTATAGCCGCATGTATACGACATAGATTTAGAATATCGTGTATATCTTTTTCTATTCTTTTCTCAATTCGTCATCAAAGTATGGGGTCTGGTTTCCCGTATGTCATTCAACATCTAGATACTTCAGCTTTAATTTTTCCCAGATATTTACATGACGACTGATGTATTCCTTTTAACAGTCATACTTTTTGTATTTTGAAACACTGTTCTGTGGCATATGTCAGACATTTCACCATTGATAACTAGTCGATATCACAAATATACTTCGATATTTTTTCCTAATCACTTAGTTTCATTTTAGGTGAATCACATTTTTTAACTGAACAAGGTTGAGATATATTTTTCTCATGGTCGACCCTATCATTTCGTTATCAAAGCCAGTCAACTAAAGTTATTTGTCAGCTCCTTATTATCCTAAGTGAATATGATCGTCAGTTGTCATAGTTTTATGACGCCTTATGTTTTCATATAGTCACCAATATACTGTTAAGTTGATACTTGGCTTGATAATGAGCATACGCTCGGTCACGGTCAGTTAACTAAGTGTACATTAGTGATGTAATTCAGCAGTCAAGTAGAAATTCATGGAACATTCACTTATCAAAATATGTAACAGGGTTTGACAGTCTCTTATAAAATGATAATCTAAACCTAAAATGATGATGGGCCAAGTAACTGTATTCATTAGGTAGCTCAACAGTAATTACGTAAATTGATTTCTTAAGAGAAACGCTGCTGCTAAACTTTTTAACTGCTGTTTGAAAACAGAATACTAACAGTAAACATTTTGCTCTTATCATTATTATCCATTAGTTGCGTTATGCATGGTAGATATTTGTGTCTTTGAAAAGTATCTCTTATCATTCGGATATCTATTTAACTAAATGTTATAACTTTCGCTATACTGTCCAGATTTTTAATATTATAGATTTGGTTCTAATTGCCCAATCCCTTTTGTCATGAAATTTCTTAGGTTTATTAATTTTCTTAATTGATAGGATTTCTGGTCGACTGTAAGTCTTATAACCGATTATAAATCATATCAATAAACAAACATCGGATTTATTCGGTTTTTTTCCAATTATGTACTCTATGTTTACTTTTAGAAGTTGGATGTTTGGCGTGAAAAACGTCGTCAAGCCTTACTCACTGAGGCAACAAAATTTGCCTTACTTCAAGAGCGTGAGAGTAGGGAGAACGAAAGACGTAAGGAAGAAGTAAAAGATCGCCTTCGTAAAGCCAAGTAGGTGAAATGTGTAGTTGTTCAACATTTCCTTAAAATATTTTCTCATCCAAACGATTGAACATAATAGGGCATTAAATAGTTCATGGAAATATCTGTACCAAGACTGATCTCCGGCGGCCTATTTGATAATCTGGGCTACCTGTTCCTGCCATCTAGATATTTCAACAAGTTATCTATTTTTGCTTGTTTAAATATATCACTATGTTTATTAATCGCATAACCTATCCTGCTGCGTTTATGAAAAGTGTACAACCTTTCGTTGTCAAAGTTACAAAAAACTCAAGAGAAAATGTGGTTGCTGGCAATATACAACGAAAAGAATGCACATTAGTCAGATGTTCATTTACTGAACTGCTAACATCTAACTGGCGATCACTCAATATTTATCGCCAGGACCGACCAAGAAGAAAGAAACAGAAACTTGTTGAAATACTTTACGCTGAGAATTCTATATTGTACCGAAAATATAATATTGAATAAAGCTGATAATAATAATAATAATAATAATAATAATAATAATAATAATAATAATAATAATAACAATAATGGTAATAATAACCCACCCTAGTGTTCTCATGAGCGTTTATTACAAGTTTATAGTTTACAAGGTTTCTCGGGTACGGTAAAAAGAATAAATTAACAACTTGTTATAGTTAAGAAGATATTTGAAAATAATGTAAAACTATGTGTTCATTCAAAGCTATAAGTTAGTAGAATACAGTTATTTATTTATAAGATTTGGAATTATAATCGTAGTTGAAAAACATATTAAGCCACTTTCTTTTGTCCAGTCAGTGTAATCGTCATCTGCCAAGGTTAGGTACCTCTATTCCTTTTGTGTTCTTGGATTTTTTGTCACATGTGTATGTGAAGGAGACTGTGTTTGTTAGGTTTCGCCTCATCGTACGAATGATTTTAGACCAAGAGTATGCTTTAATAGAATATTCATTATCGATAGTGTCATACCTCTTCAGATTTTTTCCTGTCTTTTTAATCATGTGGTCAATAATCCAGACCGTTTCACTTCAATTCTTCACACTACTGTAGTTATCAAATGTTGAATATGATATGCATTTAGTAGTTGACGCCTTGCAACTGACTATTTTCATTATTTTTCTTGCAATCCTAGAAGCCAACGTAATCTAATTTCCAGTGGACATGTTTCTTCCTTAGATTTAGCTCCACCACCAAAAATAAATAGTCCTGGCGTCGCATTACTAACGGGTAGCGATTTTGATCCGCTCACTTTCCGTCATTTTGAAAAAAATCAAATGGATACAGTCTCACCATCACAATCGGTTTCTTCAAATAAATTTCAGTACACAGATAGTTCAGATCTTTATAAGTCAAATGACTCCGAGACTAATTTGAAGGCCTACTCCGATTGTTCTTCACCTGTGTCTGAACTGAAAACTGAAGTTCAGGTAAGTTTTTTAAGAGTCGGTTTTTTATTCGCTTTATGTTTTTTCCTCTCTAGGCGTTTTAATATGTGGTTGTTGTGAGCATTCATAAAGATCGGTCTCATAGTCCAACTGGGATAGTCCGTTGACATTCCAATCTGATATACATAAGATAGAAAATTAGTGACATATTTTCCCGTTAGGCCGTTTGAAGTCACAACAATTTTACTTTGTTCCATTCTTATCTCAGTTGAGAAGTGTTATGAATGTTTAAAAAATTGCAAGCACCTTAGCTTAATTTGAAAGTAAAAATAGTTGAAGTCAATCGATTACATCACTACATTTTGAAAGTCTAATGGAAGATGAAGTTTAACTAAAACCATGCGATATACGTACTCAGTACCTTTCGAATAATTTGATCTTGTATTTACTCATCGATGTTTTTTGTCTGAAAATGAAATAGAATTATATCAATTAATTTTAATACTAAAAATAAGAGGAAGAACAGGTAATGAGAAAGATCAACAATATTTAAATGAAATTACAGGACCAAAGTTTTTTAAACAGGTAAAGGGGGTTAGACATCCATCTCGTTGGTTTCTCAACAAGTTGAAGCATGCTTCACCGACTGTTCCTACTCAATGATTTCTGAACTCTTTGCTGATTATTTCTATGATTGTGGATAATGATGGTTGTTTATCACTTATGATTATTTGGATTTCAGAAAAGAAAGAGTCTATTCAAGTTAAATCGAATAACCTAATTTTGGAAATAGCTTTAAATCGGCCTTTAGCGAAACGTATTATACTAAAAACACTGACTTGGATAACATTACGAAATCTGTTCTTCGATACAACATATAAAGGATTACATTATCGTGTCATGTTTTCCAGTCAAACGTGTTTGTGTTTGTAAGTATATTGGATGAAATAATTGATATATTAGTTCACTAATACCGTGACGAATACCTGAATAATTTTAAAACTAGTGAAATGTCCAAACTTTTATAAATCATATTGGTAGACGATTTTTCTCTTCTGTAGTTGAATATATCTCAAAAATCATTCATAAAGTCTATGCGAAAACAGACTTCAGCTCCGTACGTTAAAAGCTATCATATACGCACGCAGACGTTTAGAGTTCCAGTTTTGAAAATATAGTCAGCTTTTTCTCATCTTTAATCTGCCTCGAAAATTTCCGTCTCCTTTTAATGGAAAAACTGGCAAGTTCGATAGTTTATCGAAATATTTAAAACAATGTAAACAAACATATTGAAATTTCTTACGGATGATAATTTACCAATGAGAAGTAAAATAACGCTTAAGATAATCAATAACTTTCATATTTTTATGTTTGTAGAGTAATATTACGGACAAAATAATGGATATTTCTTCTCCAAACAAAAATTCTGTCGAAAAATGTGCCAAATATAATCGAATTGAAGTAATTCGTGATCTCATGTCTAAACCAAATAATTGCAACGTTGAAGTCACCCCGGAAACCAAACTGCCTTTTGATGCGAGTCTTGAAAATAATGACTATTCAGAATGCAAATTACGTTTGTCATCAAGACCTGGAGTATCAGAGGTTCATTGGGGACTAACAATAAAAGCACGAGGTCCTTCAAATACTTCCCCTTTTGTTGTTGAACGCGTTAAAATTGGTAGGTTTCTATATATCACATGTTTTCGTGTATTACAGACATTTTCTCTTCCCATTCATTTTTACGTTTGAAATAGTATAGGATTGAGGAAGAAATTCAGCGAATAATTTATACAGCAACTAATTTCACTTATCTTATTCTCCTATTGTCTGTATACAAAGTTTATCACACTGTTTCCCACTTACATTCGTCATAAGCGATACCTATCGATGATTCCTTCACCCAAGGTAATTTATTTGCCTATCTTTACTCTAAAATTGTTCCTCTGGACTGCACGAACAGTCGATCGTAATAATTTTCAATCTTTTTATTTTACTCAAAAAATTTTAATTCTTATTATTTGGTGGCGACTAGTAGTTGAGTGGATACAATAAATTGGTTATTAGTGGGATTGATTTTTAGTAACAGTTTCTGATTTGAAATGCCCCATATCTACTTTCGTTTAACTAGTTTTCTATTAATCGTAGTTCTCATACATAAAAATGGCCTAAGCCCTCAATATTTGCAACTTACTTTTAGTAAATAAGTGACATAGATTAACAGTGGAACACAGAATTCTCGTCCAACTATATTTGTAACTTCATCTCTTGGATTATGTCACAGTAGTTAACTGCGACGCGCAAATGTTGAGCAAGAACTAGAAAAATATAGTACCTTCTATATCCTTTGACTGAGTTAGTCAGTAATACGCAACGTGGAACTTGGCACATGTATACATCGGTTCAGGTTGTCATTCCTCACTGACGTAGCAATCTGAAATTGTCAAGGTAAATTACAGAGTAGTGGTTCTAGTAACAGAAATTCAAACACACATAGGTTGACTTTTACATCATTCGTAATATGATCCATAGCTTAACCAAACTATAGTCTACAAATATAAAATGAATTGAGTGAGTGTGTTGATTAATTTACTTATCTACGAGACTGAATTAATGGGCTTTCTTTATCTACACTTAGATCTTGAGTACAGATTTTTCGCAATATATCCCTGTGTATTAATTTTCTGCTTTAGTGCTGTTGAAAAAGTTTGGTAACTTTGATGTGTTTGTTTGCTATTTCAGACATTACTTTTGTCTTTTTGCTGACGTCTTGTATCATGATATCCAAATTACACTAGATAGCTTTCTCCGTAGTTTCCGATCAATTTTCTGTTCCCCAGTCTACCTGGTGACATATTTTGCTTGCAATGACCACACGACTTTACTTTTTCAACCTGTTTTTTAGTCATCATTATAATATTTTCAAGTATATAAAGCTGTCGAAAGGAGTTTCGCAAACTTAAATTGCACAGTCGGGTTTTAAAGGTGGATTTAGCCGTAGCAAACTAATTGTGACATATCACATGGATCTCTGTGACAATCTCGGTAGGGAGTTAACTGCAAAATAACTGTTGTCGTATCATTAAAAGTCTATTGTCCGTTGTTTTTACTTCAGAAAGCGTTAAACTTTTCATGATATGGATGTTACATTTTTACCATTTACTAAGTTCTTTCTTTTCAGTAAAAATCTAATTGTCTCGTAAGATTGATTTCAATGCACGTATTTAAATATTGAAATTTACCACCCTTACTTAACTGGGTGGTCATTTTTTTCATCTAAAATGTGTCAGGATTAGCACTAACTTCTAAATATTTCCAAGTTAACATTTTGGAATGAAATTTCACCAAATTCTGGACTTATTGTACAAGAATCTTCTGAAAAACTAATTTACTGTAGGGTTCCTTCAGCGTTTCATGACGTATTCCCCCTCATCTTTGTGGTCATCAACACACAATATTCCAAACTTTGTGTACAACTATAATACTTCATTATGTTCCTGAGTTTTACTATTTTACTGTGTGTATCAAGAGACTACGTTATGTTATCATGCAATAAAGAGGAATATCCGTATTTTATTAGTGTTAGGGGGGTAATGGAAATTGCAGAATTTTCCTAGATCAAATTATAAACCGATCTTATCTAAATGGCACTGAAGACCTTAAAGCACTGGACGGCCGTGTCATTTTAGGCACTATTGGCATCTGATACCGGTCCAGTAGTCTAGAGGTTAAGGGTCGGCGAGCAGGACGGCTTTTCAATGCTTCCAGGTTTTTATACGTGGTCTAGTTACGGTTTGTTTGTTATTTGATCTATATATTAGTTTTGAGGATGAGTTCTTCGAGAATTTCCATTAGAAATGAAATCTGAGAAACCAAATAACTAAAATCATACATTTTTTGCATAATACTCAGGTAAGTGAGCTTATTGTAGCTCGTTGATAAATCAATCCATTCTATTTAACATTTCTTAAACATTATTCGTTTACATTTGTTTCATTAACATGCAACATCTAGGTAGTTCCGCAGATATCTGTGAATTTCAAAAAGGTGACATATTGGCTTCTATTGATGGCATAAACCTGGGTACTAGTCGGAAGAACACTGACAAAAACACCAGTCAAGTTACAAACTTAGAGGATCTAGAAAACTTGATGGCTCGTTTAGTTTTGGCCAACAAACCGATTACTGTTCAGGTCTTCAGAAAAATGGATGAATTTGGTAGGAGCTTGTGGTATTTTTCTTAAGATGCATAACATTGTGACTGATTTACTAATTTAAGCCACGTACTTTATGTGTCTGCTAGTGTTACTGCCTGGTAAGTCAAACCAAATAATGTGGAGTGAGGTTTGAACCTGCGAGCCACTGGTTAAAACCTGAATCTTGTTCTGTCAAACATCATATACTGTTTTATTTTTACTTACTTCAATCCTTTCATTTTTGTTTGGGTTTGTTATACAGTATAGTTAACCGTTTTGTGCATCCTCAACAACTCGATTCGCTTGTTTTGTTAGACAGGAAGTATAAGAAATATTTGTGATAATTGATTTGTTTTGCCAGAGAAATCATGATATGGATATTTTAAAACAATGAAAGAAATCTCTCGTTGTTACAACAGCTGAACTAAACGTGAAGATGTACTGCCAGTTATTATAACCCTCTACGTCCTAGAAATTCACTAGATACTTGGATTCGGAGTTTTAGAAATTTATCCATTATGTGAAGCTTTCTTCTGATCATTAATTATTTGCCTTTATATTAAAATCTTATTATGCTCTGCCTATACAGTTGTTTCCTTTTTTTTAATATTGTCACTTTGGTACTGTTTTTTTTGTTTAACATTATTCAGAAAATAACTTAATTGTTATTACATTACCTCACACTTGAAAGGTGTAAATTCTGGATCACCATCTCCCATACACTTAGTAGAAAAATGTTGTTTTTTTATGTTAGAAGCAATCCAACTCCCTTCATTTCAGTTCAAAAGTAATATATGGTGTCTGTGAATATCACTTGGTATTTCATCACTAAATATGTATCTATCATGTTAATTAATTTTAAACATTATTGATAAGAAAGACACTTGTATAAATTAACATAAAATACACTGATTTTTATGTAACCTTTCCGTTATTTATACGTGTAAAGTAGTGATTTAATTTATTCAGACATTGTCTACAGAATAATCTGTATTTTTAGGATGGAAGAAAAGTTTTTGTTATAACTGATAATGCGTCGCAATCAACATGAGATAATATAGAATGTTCCACTAATAGTTACTTACAAAAAATTAATAGAATAAGGCAAAATTCCTAATAAAATGCTATAAAAAGACATCACACAAGTCGGTAGTGAATTTTGTCTGTATTATTAGTAGAATAACCTATTGACTTAAACAAAAACCTAATTGACAATATTTGATATGACTAATAGTCGTTTTCGATTTTGTAATTGAGAGCACTAATATAACCACTTGATGTTTTTTTACATTAACATCAACTATTTAAACTTCAAAACAAAATCTAAAGGTATCCACAAACGTATTGACTGAAATCCAACTATATTGCATCAAAAGTTATTTCATTAAATTTTATCTTGGTTAATTAAAATACATACTTTGTTAAATTTATGTTTGAAAGACAAAAGTAATACATCTCTCTATTTATATTTCAAAACAGAACTAGGTATTTTATATTGAAGAATTCAATCAGTCGATGTTTTTTTAAGTCCATGAATTCCTATCTCAATTGATCTCCTAAGTTGTTATAGATTTTGGAATACCCTATCAACGTTCTTTATTTAGATTTGTTTTTGTATGAGAGTGTAATTACCTATATTTGTACTATAATCATTAATTGAGATTCTGTTATATATTTTATCGGTTCATGATAAATTTAGTTTTAACCTACACTAGTTTACTTTGGTAAACTTGTCATCGCACTGCTTACAATGTTTTTTATAAGGATTGTAACTAAAACTAAAGTAGAAATTCGTCTCTATAAGAATTGTTATTGAAGTGCTATCGACATAGTCTTAACACTTTTAGGTTTCAGGAAGAAAAGCTATTATAGGAAATTTATAAATCCACTAAGGAATAGATAAAAAATTTAGCAAAGAAATTTTTTTCTGTGGATTCATTTTTAAAAAGCTATACAGCCGTATTTATACCAGATAATTAATGTGATGAACAAGTTTTGTGTGTTAGTATTCATGTTTCTGATGAGTGAGGATCACTTGAAGCTAATTTTATTGATAATGGTTATCTTCCAAAGTTTATTGAAATAAGCATGAAAAATACTAGGGGTCATAAGCATGCAGAACGATAATATCCATATTGATCTGGATTTTAAGGATAATATTGCGGACAAGATCTTGATTAATTGTTTGATTAATCCATCATGGAAAACATTTTATCTAGTTCCTATGTGAGTTGTCTACACTATCAGCTTATTAGTGCACATATATGTAAAGGACTAGCTCTATCGTTTGATCGATTAGACATGAATTCCTTCATTCATCTTCACCGGCGGATCTAGGTGCACATGTCTTTCATCAAGGAGAACCTCCCAACGCATTGCTGGGCACCTGATAATATGACTCTGTAAAGGACAATATGAAAGTATGTGAAATCGTCTGTTCTCTAGCATGTAGTTGATGATGATCGTGCAGTATCAGACTCAGCGTCCAAAATCATTTATAAAATCTAATCGGTTCTACCGAAACGCCTACACACATCTTCATATTACAGAAGCATTGGAAATGCTTAAGAAGAAGCTATATTTATGTATAGAGAACTATTTCCGAGATCTCTTTCTATGCTGTAGCCTGAGTTTGCTCTATATTTCTTCTTTACACACTACTTAATAAAAATTTTTGGTTGCTGTTTATTACCCTCGTTTTTTTAAGTCACATGTTATATAATCTACTTTTTTACATCCGAATATATTGCACCAATAATTTATTCATTCTATCTATTATCATATGATCACTCACCTTTAATCAATTCCTGTCCTCATTTATTTTGACCTCCATCAATCTACTTGAAAAATCATACCATATCTCTAATTTTGTAGTTGTGTCTTTTATGTCCTGTAGTTACTAGTCAGTATGATTATTCATTTATCAATAATTAATCGGTTTCACCCATTAATACGAACTAAACATCATGATTCTCACCCATTATACGCAGGCATATTAATGTAAAGTGCTTATTCATCACATAGATTACCTTTTATAAATACAATTATGCAGGTTTTGAAAATGAAATTGTTGAAAAGAAAATTTTCTTTGCTGAAATATTTATTTTGTTGCAGAAAAGCTTTTTGAATAATAATAAAAGCGAACTATTTTTCTCATAAAATGTTTCGAATAAACTACACGTTTCAGATGAACTGAACGATGGCGAATCGGATACAGGTGGAGATTTTTCCGTCGAATCAGCAGCCGTGAAATCCAAACACACACCAAGTAACATTAGTGATTCCGATAGTGAATGCCATGAGTTACTTGTTTCTCCTGTTGTCAAAGTTTCTCACAAAACATCTCCTGTTGATAGCCCAGTTTTACAAAGATCTATCACAATTACACATTCACGTCATAGGTCACCTTCCCGAAGCTCAATTCAAGTAAGTTATCCTTGGTTGATTAATACACTCGTTACTTACTCACTTACTTACTTACGCCTGTTACTCCTAATGGAGCATAGGCAGCCGACCAGCATTCCCCAACCCACTCTGTCCTGGGTCTTCTTTTCTAATTCCATCCAATTCTTGTTCATTTTTCGCATGTCTATCTGCATTTTCCGGCGTAATGTGTTCTTTGGTCTTCCTCTTTTCCTTTGGCCTTTAGGATTCCATGTGAGGGCTTGTCTTGTGACACAGTTAAGTGCTTTCCTCAATGTGTGTCCTATCCACTTCCAGCGCTTCTTCCTAATTTCTTCCTCCGCTGGGATCTGGCTTGTTCTCTCCCACAGTTGGTTGTTGCTAATAGTGTCCGGCCAACGGATCCGAAGTATTTTGCGTAGACAACTGTTAATAAACACTTGTATCTTCTGGATGATGGCTTTCGTAGTTCTCCAGGTTTCCGCCCCATACAGTAGAACTGTCTTGACATTTGTATTGAAAATCCTGACCTTGGTGTTGGTTGACAGTTGCTTTGAGTTCCAGATGTTCTTCAGTTGTAAATATGCTGCTCTTGCTTTACCGATCCGCGCTTTCACATCCGCATCAGATCCACCATGTTCATCAATGATGCTACCCAAATAATACACTTGTTATCTTCCTGCAAATAGTCGATATATACTACCAATAATGTTTCATAACAATGAACCTTTTTCACTAACAGGTCTGTTTCCTACTTATGTTAGAAACTATCACCATTGGATGCCGGCTCAGTGGTCCAGTTGGTTAAGCGTTCGCGCGCGAGACCGAAGGCCCTTGGTTCGAATCCCGCTCGCGGGGTCGTGGATGCGCACTGCTGAGGAGTCCCACAATAAGACGAAACGGCCGTCCAGTGCTTCCAGGTTTTCAACTGTGATGCTCTAACATCAATCGGTTCATGATCTCAATCAAAAACTTAATAATCTCCACAACCCCTATACTAGTATTTATAATCATACTGAAAAAAAGCTTAAATACTAGAGAATCAAGAAATGCACCATAAAAATAAGGTGGCAATGCTATGAAAAATCTGAAAGAAAGCTTTTCAATCAACCGTTAAAAAAAGATAAATGGCCACTAAACACTGTTAGTCTGTCTTTTCATATTAACTTTCAAGTGTCCAATCATTCTCATTCCAATTGCTATTGCATTATTTCTTGAAATTCATCTTTTCAGTTTCGTCAACCTAATACGATCTCGCAAATTCGAACAATGCTAACCCTTACTATGCTCTATTTCAATAAGTGACTGACTATTTACTCTAATAAATTATTAAATCATTCTATCTTTAAAAAATTATGGTTTACATTGCGTATCGTTCTCAATGTATTGTACTTCTTTTCTATTTTCTTGACATGAGTTTAGCACTAGCAACTGTTACTATGATCTATTTATGTTATGCGTGGTTTACCCGCTAAATTATATCACGCGTCCAATCACTAATCATAATCGTAATTCTAATTTGGCCTTTTATTTACTCTATGGTTTGGTGTCTCTGACTTAACCAATTACACGCCCCATCAGCACCATTAACAGTTAAGTTTGTATTGGTCCGTCATGCACAAGGTCCTCCCTATACTCCAGTCTTGAGTCCATAAGTCCACACCCACCATATCTGTATTTCAAACAAACGTGGTTTATATACAGACATACATAACGGAACCACACCATAATATAAAAAATAACAATTATACATGAACAGGCTAAAAGTGGCTGTGAGTAGAGAAGACTGTAAATAATAGACTGGCAACAAAATAGGAATAGTCAGTCGTATGACATTAGTTTATGGGTTAACCGAAAGGTAATGATAAACGGAGTACATAGATATAGTAGTCTAGTTTCTTAATAATCATATAGTAAGAATATATATATATATAATGATAATAATCCAGAAATTAATTCTGGGAGCTACCATTCCTTCAATCTTCGTTCTGGCATAGCAATTTTATGAGCAAGTTGATACCCTATATTAAAACATTCTGTCAGGTTTACTATCACTGATACTTTCCGTGAAAATACTGTTTTTAATCACTTCATTTTTATCTTTTCCTTGTCATTTTATCAATTCTTTAAAGATTTCTGATGACGAAGTTAACAATTCATCTGTGTCATCTAACTCCGAAGTAAAAGAGTACGTTACATTCAAAATGAAAAATTATAATATTTATTATATATAAAGATTCAACATGTATTTTACGTATGCTTACTGTCAATTTTAGTTTATTACTGCTTAGATATAAACTAGAATCTAAGTAGCTCATATTTTAGGTAAGCTGAATAATTTTTGCTCTCTTTTCTAACATGCTCCCTCCCTGAAAAAATGATACTATTAAATCTTGTCACTATAGGTTTGTGAATGATTGGTGGAATCATTTGATTATCATTCGTTCTATCACGAGTTCAAAGGTACTCTATTTATTTAGGTCTTACAGTCAGGTGGTATTGCTCTTGCTCACACGATAATAAGGTCACCGTACATATGTGCAGGTAAAAAATTTTGAATTACGCTAATTTACAGATTCAGAAAAATTCATTATTTTATCTCTTACTCTGTTGCTATTTCAGCTCAGTTTTGTGATAATCCATCAAAAGCGTACTTCAGCATTACATTTCGATATATTGTTAAAAACTGGATTTTTATAGTTACTAGAAATAATTTCGATCAAACCTCGTTATAGAACGAACTTCGTCATTTAATTTTCATATGTGTATCGATTCGTTCAATTATGGAGTCAGTAAACGAAAAACCGCAAACGTCTACATGTAATAACTATCAATGTCCTTTATTTCTGGATGCTATTTATGGTTTATGACTTGTGAATCAAAAGACCAGTCAGTCATTAGTAACGTAAAAGCTCTACTCAAATATACATTCTCACACCTTGTCACATTACACCAACACAGTGAGATAAAATTATCTCGTCGGAATATAGCAAAATCTCAGGATGTAAATGTATCTGCGTCACCGTTACTGATGTGATGCTGAAATCTCGGATAAAATCCCAAATACTACAAGAATTTTTCTCTCATCTACTTATTACATAGGAGTTCTTGTCGTCACAATACTTTTATGTTAGAAGTTACAAATATAACAATTTTTATTTGTGCCAGATAATTGACATTATCCTACTTCACTGATACTTTTTGCACTCCATTTTTAGCTGTACACAGTTCAGTAATATTATATGCTTAACTTACTCATTGGTTAGAAATATTTATTTTTGCGCCAAAAGCCTTTCTGTCCATTATTTAATTTAATAAATATACAATATGTTTTTTTAATTGGTCTAATTAGTTGGTCAGACAACAACTATTTCTACTACCCAGCTAGATTCCACTGGTATTTAAAAGTGTAAATATAACTATTTTTGGAACACTTCCTATAGTTTTAACTTACCTTTTGAGTTATTGCCCTGGTACAGCTAACGAAGAAAAGAGTCTGCTCTCCCTTTCAGAATGCTACCATGCGACCTTTCGCCTATAACATCTACCAGAGAAGTCCTACTAATTGCCTTCAGACGATGAGAGTATTGTTTAAAAAAGTGAGGAAGCGAAAAGCGAACATCAGGCTCTTAAATCGTTTTGTTGAATATTAAGGGTTCATGTAAGGGAGTTGAGAAGCCTTGATTTCAGACAAATTGTGAATACGTGCTTTAGAAACCTGAGGGAACAAATGGCTTATAAACCTATTTTTTGCCACCGGCTCTCGTGAGGCGGTATCTCTTGACGATACTCCATCTTCTTTTAAATTAGACCTCTAGGTTAATGACTTTGAGAATAGCCTTCGAAGGAGACCACCTACTTCTATCTAGGCACCCAGACAGTATCACGGCCCACACAAAACTTTTTAGGACATATTATTTTTGGTGCTCGGTTCTACCAGATTTCGTATAAATTAAATAATAATTTCACTGAAATCTCGAACTGGTCAATGTTCGACTATTATTGAACACCCAGAAGCACTGGACGACCGTTTCATCCTAGTATAAGACTCCCTCAAAGTGCGCATCTACTACGACCTCGCGTACGCTAATCTAACCCAGGACCTTCGGTCTTGCGCTCTAACCCTTAACCTTTAAACCACTGAGCCGGCGTTCAACTGTGTTAATTCCTAACTTCAATAATCTTCACAACCCTATACTAATAAATAATAGTTAACAAAATGGTTGCTATATTTTTAAACTATACCTTTGTATTTAATTATTTTCCCAGTCATTTTATCCTAATAATGATTATTTCAAACTTCAACATTGTTAAAGTAGTAATTGTGTATGCTATAATTTTCCCCATATAATAGATACAATTGTCTAAAAGGGAACTTTAATATTTCGTCCAAATCAAGTGGTTTAATTTCCAAGAATGAGATTTCTCCATTATTTAAATCAAATCAAGATAAGTCTAAAGATGAAAGTAAGTAAATTATTTGTACCATGGTTTTATTTCATTCATATTGGTATCATTATTTATCTGACTAATTGACTTTCCAATGACTGTTATGCACTGATGAATATATTGTTGACAAACCAAATAATCATTGGTGAATTACTTACTCTGTTCATGTGGCTATTTTTATTAACAAGTCAATGCTAAAATGAAGATTTTTACTATTTATAAGTATAGTGCATACATAACAGCATAGTACTTCAACTCGTTTTTTTTAGATTTCAACAGGGTTTCTTAAAGTAACCAAAAATATTTTTGAATTCTGTCTGCGTTTTTTAGAATTATTTATATAGCCTTATAACATTTTTCATCAGCCTGATAATTCACGCCCACAAGAAATGCGGCACCTCTGACACTATATCCGTCTTCAATAACTTTTTTTACGAGGCATTGTCTCTTCTCATTTGAAATTAATTTGTTTTTTTTCTATTCATCTCTGGTATGTAAGGATTATGAAAAAAGATTTTTAAAAACACTGCGGTTATTTCAAAAAACGTAGAAAAAAACTTTTTAAACTTTTTTGGTTATTTTAAAAAACCCTGTTGAAATTAAAAAAAACGATTTGAAATACTATATAAATCTGTGTAAGTGATAGGTTTTCAAGATTATCTGTTGACAATTCCAGATATTTTTTGCTCCCTCCTTACTGATTTTTCGTATGTAAGGACATAAATATTATTTATTAACCAATCTGTCAGCTTACATAGAGATGCTACTCATAAACCTCTTCACATAGTTGTATGAAAACACATATATTGAAATCAACACAAGACTCTGATAGATTGTAAACTACATAATTTTTTCCTAGTAACTGATTGCCACCATCTTCCTCAATTCGTCATATAACCGCTATTAAGAACTAAGCTAACTTTAAGAATAAATCTTCCAGTTTAAGTGCACAACTTGTTATTATCACTTATATATTCTTTGTTATCTCTATATAGCAAAAAGTTACCTTCCTATTCTTTCGATTTACATAAATAAATGCAACTTAGCATTTACAAAACATAAATGCTCGCATTAGTATTTCTGTCTAAACTATGTACCGATTGATCAATTCTCAATATAAGACAATACCTGCATAATGCTTTTATTTGAAAGTGTGAATAATAAATACTTTACTGTTATGCAACAGCAGCCTATATGACCTTAATATTTCAACATTTGAAATGTCTGTAATTCTTACCACCAATTTTGTTTTATCTTACTTTCGATGTACAGTTATTGATCTTTTTTCTCACTTTCTCTTCTCTTCTAACAATGTATACCGTCTGAGATTTCGCGTAGCTTTTCTGGCTGACTATTCTGTATAATTTTTGGGTTCATTTAAGGTCAGTCTGATCAAAATACATTACCTCATCTCTTACCACTTACATTTAATGTTTTCTCAAGATTTTTTTCATAAAGTCGTTCATAAATAATCAAACATATTCATAAAATAAGATAGTATTTTGTGAACATGTATATACTTGTTATCACTATATGAGAAAATGTAAATCACATTTCGTCCAAGATTAGGTTTCATATATATATATATATATATATATATATATATATATATATATATATATATATATATATATATATAAGTAGATTCACTTATACAAGTGATTAACAAAGTTTACTTCTCATCGGCATCAGTTTATGTACTGTGTTATTATTTTTACAATACCTCTGCTGATTTTCTTACGTTGCTTCAAATGTTCTGATCGAAAAAAATTCTATGAACCTGAAGTTTCCATAAATCTCATCTCATTATTGGTTTTGATATTTCAGTTTTATTTGATGTGTGTGGTACTCAAATGCTTGATAATGACTTCCTAGTCGCTCCATAGTTCCGCATAATTCTCTTAAACTTGGTCCTCCAAAGTTACAAATAAAACACTAAATAAGAACAGAAGCTTTACTTCAATATTATTTACTGATGTATGAATAGCCTCCACATTCGGAAGACTTCTGGAAGCACGCTAAGTTTAGTGACAAAGTTGGTATGAGTTCTGGTTAGAGTATAGGACATAATCATTCCTTTTTATAGAGGTTTCTGGGAAGTTCTAATTAGATGCTTAAACTCAATGGTTTTCAGCATTTCCCGTGTTTTCTGAAGACGTTTTCGGGGAATTCTTGAAGATTCCAAACAGAGCTCTGGATTTTACTCGTAATCACTACTAATTAAAATTTTTAAGGACAGTGATGTACCATCTCAGTGTAATTACAGATTATATATATATATATATATTGTTGAGTTACGTCCTCTGGATTTGGCAGTTCAACTAGGAACCTTTAATTGTCATTTTGGACAACTTTCGCATTTACCGTACATGGAGCTGTTATAATTATTCCGCAAGCTCTAAGTCACCTTGTCCTATTCCCTAATCTTGTCTTCGGAGGTTCTATCAACATGATTTGTCTTTTTATTTCTATCGCCTATTGTTCGTTTAACCTCTGACCATAACATCTACCTGGGCTAGAAATGTCCATCATTACATTCTATCTCTACCAATATGTATTTTGGAAATGTCAGTAACACTTTAAATCCACTTTTGTATCGATTATCATCATAAAATACCTAATAAAGATTTCAAGGTTTCGTATCTCCTTATGAATTTCTAATATTTTCACAAAATATCGTTCTTTAATTAAACTAGTGCCATAAAAATAATATATTATTTGTCAAGTAAAATTTTAACACCAAACGAAAATCAGTCTGTGCAAACTCGAGTAATTTACAGCCCTATTATTGTTTTAGAAAATATATGCACTAAGCCACAAATTTAGAAAGTGAGATTTTTACTAGAATCTATTCATGAAAAACGAAAAATTGAACGGTTTGATCGGACTTCGTAAATAAAACAAAGATCATTTGCATATTATATATATAATATATATGTATATAATATTTGCATTTATTATCCTGTTACAATATACAACCTAATTTTTTTGTGTTTTGCTATTTATCTATTTTCTTTCTTGTCAAAAAAAAAAACAAAACTTCGTTGTCCAACTTACGTTGTAATGATGGATGTACATGTATGTATGTGTATATAAACATATATGTAGTTATATTTTAAATGTGTGTGTACATATATATAAGTGTTGATAGATGTGGTAAACGTAATAGATCTGTAGTTCTATTGCTCCATATGCAAAATATAAAAACGTAATTGTTATTGCTTTGTTTCTTCCACCGGTAGTTTTTGTGATTTTATCCTGTTTTATTTACTCGCTTTGTTAGTGTTTGATATCCAAAGTCTTTTACTAAGTTTACATAGCACTTTCATTATTTTCTTTGCAAAAGTATTAAAAAAAACATTGATTGATATATTACTGTATTTTCAATGATTGTTATCTTTTGACGTGTTTTTCTCGTTGTGTCTTGTTCTGTGTTTGCTGACTTTTTGTCATTCATGCACAATTATACGTACTTTTACTGTAGTGAAGTACTCCATGTTTGTTTTTCTATTTAGTCAATTTCTTCATAAATTCGTATTTTTGTCTTACAGTTGAATGGGTGTCCTCTGTTAGTAGTAACTAGATACTATTGCTACTTCAATTACTTTTATTGGTGCTTTCACATCAATTATATTCAATTTTAACTATTGTTATTATGACGTAATTTCGTTTACTTATGTATGTATGTCTTTTAGTTTCCCGTCTTTAGGATTTTATCATTGTTAACATTATTCCTTTTTAGTGTATAAATACAGTAATGTCGTAGCAGTTGTTTTTTTATCATTATTTGGATCTTTTCCTATCGCTCTCATAGCTCTGGAGCATCGAAACCAGTACAAATCCGTTATTAGTCACTAAATGTATACAGTTTTACAACTACATGTATTCCGTTCAAGAGATGGATTAGAGTGTAACTTATAAATACATTTAATGACACACACTAATAATCTTTTTAAGTTTGGCCTAATGGGGGAGAGGGTTTCAAATTTCTCCGTTTCTCAAACGAATTTTCACAAATGGTTTATGCAATGTGTACACATCAGTTTTGTCTCCTACTCTAAAACTAATCTTGTTAGTCATTTACTCAAGCCTAATCTTAGTCACGTTTGGAAGCATCTCTTTCCTTGATGTAGTCTGCTTAGAGCATTCAAACTCGAATAATGCTCTCAATTTATATTGGTTACAAAAGCACACCATTTACCACAATATATAATTTTTATCTATGTACAGTTTTATAATACACGGCCTTTTCATGTTGATACTAGAACACTACAACTTTTATGTTATGTGATCATTTTTCTCAAAACATAACTAACATGCCCGATTTCTCCTTTTCTGAATTTCATGAGTAGATGCTTAAATAATCCTCTGTAAATATAGAAGAAAACATTGTTTTTTTGCATTGAAAAATTTTCATGCTGCTAATTCTTATTTTTCCAATAAACAATTCTCTGTTATTTCATACGTAGAGTTGTTTTTCGTTCAAGAGTTGTACTCTAGTTACATTCACAAAAAATACTTAGTCTTTCAACTGATTACTATTAACAATCAATTAATTGTTGTATTTAACCATAAGTCTACTTACCTGCAAATTATCGAAGTGAAATAAACAAAAAGTGTTTTTTTTGTAATGTAGCTAACAGTGGAATCTAGGACAGGCATTTTGTCCTATGTGGGAACTGTCATTAGGATCTACCTTCATCTCACAGTTGATATTCACTCTGAAATAAAAATGAAACTTACCTTTTGGATCCCACTTCTAATCAAATTCCATAAGAATGGTGATATAAAGACTATATCGAGGCAATCTGCACGGAATACAAATAAGGCCAACTAAGACTGATCAAAATTCAGTCAAAATATCAGCACTAAAGTAATACATTTAAGATAATAAAATATGTTGCAAAATACTGAGTTTCACTTTCATATACTACAAATGAGTAATTATTTATTTTATTCATTTCATTTTAATGTAATTCACTAATAGTATTAATATTTATTGGATATATAATTCTGTC